TGTGGGTATTACCACTTTCTTAGAGTAACTTTGGTATTCCATGGATGATTCTTAAGCATTTTTTGCTTATCTGTTTTTCATAAACATATATATATATGTATATATTTGTATATATATATGTATATATTTGCCACAAGTATTTGAAAATTAACGAAGTTTTTCTATCAAAATATAGACAGGTTGCCTGGCCAGCGTGGCTCAGTGGTTGAGCATTGACCTAGGATCCAGGAGACTGTGGTTCGATTCCCAGTCCGGGCACATGCCCCGGTTACAGGCTCGATCTCCAGCAGGGGGTGTGCAGGGGGCAGCCGATCAATGACTCTCATCATTGATGTTTCTCTCTCTCTCTCCTCCCTTTCTCTCTCTGAAATCAATAAAGACATATTTAAAATAAATAAATAAAATATGTACAGGCATTTAAAGTCATTTCCATGAAGAATGCTGCAATGAACAGGGGTGCGTATTTCTTTGCAAGTAGATGTTTTCAAATTTTTCAGATAGATACCCAGAAAAGGGGCTGCTGGGTCATATGGTAGCTCTAGTCTTGACTTTTGGAGGAACCTCCAGACTGTTTTCCACGGTGACTGTACCAGTTTTCATTCCCACCAGCGGTGACTGAGGGCTCCTTTTCCCCACAACCTCTCCAACACCAGTTATCACCCGTCTTGGTGATAACACCCTTTCTAACAGGTGGGAGGTGGCATCTCATTGTAGTTTTGATCTGTATTTCCCAAGACGTGGGAACCAGCGGGGGGTCCTTCGGCAGGCGCCTGTGTAAAGAAGCCCTGGTGCATCCACACGATGGATCACTGCTCAGCCACAGGAAGGGTGAAATCCTGCCACCCGGCAACTGCAGAGATGCCTCCTGAGAACATCATGCTAAGCAAAATCAGTCAGGTGGAAAAAGCCAAGAACCACGTGATTTCATTCATATGTGGGGTATAAAACTGAAAGCAATAAATGAACAAACAAGATAAACAAACGAACACAGACTCATAGACACAAACAACAGTGCGGTGGCTCCCAGAGCGAAGGAGGGAGGGGGTAATAGAGGGTACAGGGGGCCAAACACATGGTGACAGAGAAAGGTCTGACTTTGGGTGGTAAACACACAATGCGATATACCGTTGATGGACTATACAGTGTACACGTGAAACCTATATAAGTCTATTAACCAATATCACCCTTATAAATTTAATAAAATTTAAAAAGAAAACAAAAGTCATTTCCAAGCGCCCCGTTCTTCAAAATGTTATCATGAAAATGAAGGATCATAATAGTATTTCCAAACTCATTTGATATTTAAAATTAAATTAAAAGACTGGAGATCTCCCTTGGCAAGCCAATTTGCCAAGAGAACGGCCCGGGGGGAGGGGGGAAGACTAAGGGGGACCCGCGGGCTGGGCGGGCAGGCCCCTGGGGAGCAGCTGGGGTGAGAGGGCTCCGTTCACGTCCCCTTGGGTCCGTGCTGGGGGCACATGCGCAGGGAGGACACTGCCAGAGGAGGAAACATAGGCGGGTAAGATGCTGTGTTGGGGGCGCTGACAGAGGCTAAACCAAGAGGCAGCGCAACAGAATGGGAAGAGCTCTGCCGTCTGTTAACCGTGTGATTTGCTGCAATTTACTTAACCTTTCTCTTGTTTTAGCTTTCTGTGTGTGTTTTTTTTTAATTTATTTTTAGCCCAGCCAGTGTGGTTCAGTGGTTGAGCGTCGACCTAGGATCCAGGCGATCGGGGTTCGATTCCCGGTCAGGGCACAGGCCCGGGTTGCGGGCTCGATCCCCAGTCGGGGGCGTGCAGGAGGCAGCTGATCAATGACTCTCATCATTGATGTTTCTCTCCCTCTCCCTCTCCCTTCCTCTCTCTGAAATCAATAAAGATATATTTTTTAAAAAATAATTTTTCAGTTACAGTTTACATTCAGTATTATTCTCTATTAGTTTCTGCAAAGTGGTTAGAAAGTCATGTACTTAATAGTGAGAATGTTTGTTCTATTTATCTCATAATTCATAGAATATCCATGAGATAATGCTTGTGCATTATTTTTGAGACCAATCAAGTTATATACTAATAAATAACACGTATTATTATGTATTACATTTTAATAATAAAATATGATAATTGCCTTTCTCTCAAGTCACTTTTTGTGCTTTATTTTTACTGACGACCCACGCCCTGTGTCTTTTCTCCCCTGAGTAAATGACAGTGAGCAGGACAGACTCGCAGAGGGGACAGAGAGCCTGCCTGGGTCTTGGCAGAGATGTTGGAGTCCCCTCCGCAATTTCACTCCGGGAAACCCTCTTCTAATGGTGACATTACAACAAGAAGGGGAATGAAGAACCCTTGCTGTATCTCCCTGGAATTTTAACAAATTCCCTTTAATCCAGGACCCTCCAACTACCAGCTGGAACAGTGTAACTGTAGAGAACTGAAGGCTCTGAATGGGGGGCGTGTGGAGAGATCTGTCCCTGGGTGGCTTAGCAGAAATATACTAAATGAGCCCCCCCAACCCGACAACACCCCCCGAGTCATTCTTCCTGAGGGAGGAGACTCTGGGTTCTAGGGAAAGAGAACTTCAGATGGCCTGACACATCCAGCCGAAGCAGACATCACTCTGAGGATGCTGTGAAGGCGCACTGAAGTTGTTGCTTTATAAAAGTGAAAAGAAGTATTGGCATTTCTAAGCTCAAAACTATTTTTTTAACAAGCTCAGAAATTCTGAAAAATAGGCAGTGCCGTTTTCCCTAGGGGATGCAGTGCGGTTAGAATGTGCACCAGTTTTTTTCCCCCCAGTGTGTATATGGATAAAATATGTGCAATGAAATTCTAGGGCAAATTCTACTGCAGAAATAATCTAAAACATGGCAGATTTATAAGGGGCGGTAATTTTTATTTATTTTCCAATGTGGATTCCCTTGAGAACTCAAATGTTCTGCATGTTACTTATGGCTTCTCCTTGGAAAGACTTACCTCTGAGGCCCTGCGGCATAAAACTCCAGGCTGCACCGTCCTCAGAGTCAAGCCTCGGCCATAATTTTCCTTGCCACTAGCTCGGGTGGTTAGGAATTCACTAGCACTCTCTACCTGTACGTGATTAATAATTCATAATTAAGCTGGCAGTTTGAGAACATCGGCACAGCTGTAAGCTTGGAGCCTCCTCTCTCTGTTTCCCTTCCTTTTATTTGGAGAATCTGAAAGCAAAGTGAGTAGAAAGTTGTGGGCATCTGAAATCCTCCATTAAGATCTTTGCCCCCCACCCCTCAGTCTTTGGATTTGTTCAATGTGTGCTTTGCATCTTTCTTTCAAAGGAGAGTCAGGCATGTACCCCTGTCAGCCTTGTGCCAGAGCCCGAGGAAACAGGGCCTGTGAAGCCCCATCCTTACTCCAGCACCCCCTTCTCCAGGGAGAGGCGGGCACACAGAGCAGCTGTAACCCAGTCCCCCCTGTGCGGAGGTTGGCACAAAATGCAGCCGGAGAGATGGCAGGCTCTCTTTTCAGGGTCTGAGGAGAGGTGACCTTGGAGGACCCTTGAAAGTTGAGTCGTACCTTCTCAGGTAGAAAATGAAGAGATGGCGAGGAGAAGCAAAGCTGTGGAAGGGCTTGAGCTTTGCCGTGCTCCAGGGGTAGCCGAGCCCTGTGTCTGTAGGGCGCTGCTAGTGAGGGCCGGCCCTGGAGTCGAGGTTTGTCGGGGGGTTGGGGGTTGGACTTCAGGGGCTTAGGTAGGCCCTGAGAAAGAGGTTGGGTGTTAAGCTTGGTGGGCAATGGAGAGCTCAAGGAGCAGGTAGGGGAGCAGTTTAAGTGGATTATTGCCTGAAAAGGTGCCTCTGGAGGGAGCCAAAATTGGAAAAAGAACAGGTGGGAGATTCCAGGTTGGGGGCTATTGCCATTGTTCATGTGAAATTTGGTGAGAAACTCAACCACAACATTGGCGATAAGAAATTAGAGTTGAGGGGGATCAGGGTATTTTCCAATGCTGAGTTTTGAAATGAATTAAGAGAATTGGGCCTGGAAGTGGGACAAGGATCATGTCAGCCTTTGCGATGCTAAAGGTAAAGGGACGTGGCCCCGGCCCATGAGAGTTCAACAGTTTATTGAGAAAGACGCTATTACTGTCATCTTCGTCTTTGTCTCCCTTGGCCTCTCAGTAGCTTTTTACTGAGTGCTCCTTTCCTATGAGGCACTCTGCTAAGCCACTGTTTTGTCCAAACCTCACAACATAGTTAGTTTAGCTACTACTATCATCTGTATTTCTCAGGTGAGGAAACCAAAGCTTGAAGAAGGGAAGGCTGTTTACCTTGCCCCAAACTAGTCAACAGGTGAGGAGTTGAGCTCTAGAGCCCTTCTCCTAGCCACTGGACATGAAGCCATTAAGTCTGTGCTTTATAATTCAATATTAGAGTAGCAATAGTAGCAGGGACAATGCATTGCTAACTCTGATGACGCAAGTCTGAGACAGCTTTTCTGTGTTTTAAAGGATATGTTTTAAGGAAGGAGACGGGATTTTCAGGTAAAGAAATGTGCAAGAAAAGAATCGCAGGGCGGGATAATAGGTGCAGGGTCAGAGAGCATGAAAACGTCTGGAAAGTTCAGGGAATGGTAGCTAGTTAGTGTGGCTGGCTTTATTGAACAAGGGGCTTCACTGGGGGCAACTCATGACTATTTGCTTAAGTCAGCAGTTCCTCTAAAATAAACGAGCACGTGGATAGACAGGGACTCTCAGGAAACCTTGTAAGTAGTTTCCTTTTGGTTTCTCCCTTCAATCAGCAAGCATTGATGTCCTTGACTTGAGTTCCTGCGCTTCTCCCCCCTCCCCCCATACACCTGTGTCCTGCTACGAGACATAAATGTTGTGTCAGTGGCCTAATCTTTGGCAAATCAAGAAATCATTATTGAGAAAATACTCATTTTAAAGCAACTACATAAATATTTATAGGCTGACACCTTCTTCCGAGTGCAAAGAATCATTCTCATGTATTTATTCCCTTGTCTGTTTCTTCACAGTCCCTCCACAGATCATGAATATCTCCTCAGACATCACTGTGAACGAGGGGAGCAGCGTGACCCTGCTGTGTCTTGCTATTGGCAGGCCAGAGCCAACAGTGACGTGGAGACACCTGTCTGTCAAGGGTAAGGCATGTGCCTGTGGAGAGTCCTTGGAGTTAGTATATTGCAGACGCGATTCTGCTGCACATCGGAACCTCGGGAATCAGAAAACAGGGCTGCTTTATACCAGGGGAATGTCAAAGCCAAGGCCGAGCGCATCTGTCACTGAGCATTTCTTCCCAAAGGGAAGAGCTACAGAAAAACTTTACCAAATTATGATTTCAGTCCCTTTTATGACCTTAGCAGGCTTCTGTGTTCCCAACTATGATGAAGAGAGGCGCCTTAAGAGTAACTTCCAACAAAGAAACTAATTTCTCAAGGTCAAGGTTGTGGGGGTTAGTTGGTGTTTGTCCTTCCTGAAGTAGAGGAGAGAGCACTGCAGTGTCCATTGGAAGCGCTGATGTCGTTGTGTATCCAAGAGAAAAAGGACCTTCCTGCTCAGTACTTTCGGGACATTTCCCCAGAGCCACATGTGTTTGACCCGTTCATATATAACCCGCTCGAGTAAAGGAAGGGTGAGCGAAAGGGTGAGGCCTCCGGGGCATCCCTGTGCTCGGCCTGCATGATCGGTACCAAAACATTACTTACGCTCACCTTCAACTTCATAAGCAGGGAACCAAAAGGACAAGAGCCTGATCTATCCCCTTGGAACTAAAACTTACTCCAAGGTGAACTTGAAGAGATGGACACAGAGCCACTTGATATATTTACACTGTTAGCAGGAACAGTGATTAATTCCAGAAATTATATAAGAAACAAGTGCTCTCTCGGGCATTAGGAAATCTGAACATGAAGCCCAATGAAGAGGGGAATGTGGAGCATGCCTGTGTGTGATGTAAATTAATGTAGATCTAGATGACTTGAAATTGCCCCCCTAATTTAAAACAAAAATTATGTGAGCAGCACTTACCAAGTGAGAGACTGGATCTGTTACTAGGAGCATCGTTTAAGCTTCGGCTATTCCATTCCCTCCATTCATATGAAGAAAACATATTTCAGCCCTGCCTTGTTATAAGGGAGGAAATGCTAATAAAGCCACCAAACATCCTTTGGTGTAAAGCCCTCATATATTGGAACCCTAAATGTCAATATTATGAAGTGGCATTAACGAGAATATTAAAGTGCACACAAGGAACATCACCAAGCTCAGCTTTAATATGAACACTGCAATAGTGTGTGTTCCCAAAGACATAAGCCCCATGGGAATTCTGCTCAAAGTCAGGGAGAATTGTGGCTTTACATTATATGCAAAAATACGTCTAACCTTCAGACCAATCTGTACATATTTGGTAAAGTGAGATGTTTTTATAAAGGCTTAAAATCCCAGAATGCATTTATTTGATCCTAAATACATAGTTTCCTCAGCCTAGAAGTCTCTTGAAAAGCACTTTGACATTTTTTACGTGTTTTTAACAATATTTATAGTGGTACTACAGTGTAATAGTTGCAATGCAACCTTAAAAAAAGATCAGAAAATCCGAAATCTAAATTGTTCCTCCTCTTTAAATCTCCCAGGCTGGGCTCTACTTTCAGTTGTCTTTTGTTTTCCAGAGCCCTGGCCTTCACCTTGCTGTCTTTCATTTTCCCTGTTGCCCCCC